TATCTAATATGTAGTATTTAGTAGTAAGTTCTGAGTGTTTCTGATGACGGGTATTAGATACTGAATAAGGTGAAAGGATGTAACTAAAGAAATAACACTAGTTTAACGTTTCCCACAAACCAACTTACCTCCCTCCCTCCCTTTCTTTCTTTCTTTTTTCTTCTACACTTTGCTGTTTTATTATTTCCAAATCTCAGGCTTATGTACAGGAGGTAAGAGCACTGATAAAATTAAAAAACAGACCTAAAATGGCCTGGCTGGTGTGTCCAGCAGACCACATGGGGCAGTGGCCCTTGCCCTACCCCCTACCCTCCGGGACCTGGGGGTCTCTTGGCACTCTGTGTGTCCTAGTGACCAGCTGTCAGCAGCTCCAGCCCGGCACTGTGGGGCACATCTCTGGCCACCAGGCACCCTTGCAGCCTGCTACCCTTTCCTTATCAGGGGGATTTCATAGCTGCCACAGCAGAGCTCAGGGCACAGTCTACCATCCTGTCTCCAGAGGGCTAGAGTGGCCAGAGGTCCCACAAACTTTCTTAATTTTATTTCTCCCTTTGCTTCAGGGCCATCATGACTTTGTTTTGATTTTAAATTTTACTTTTAATTTTAAAATGGAACATGCAACATTTCCTTTAAATGTTATTATTTGATTAGCAATTATAAACCTAATAACCATTTATTTTGAAATGCTAATGCTCACACCAGAAAATTTCCACTGCATATAATATCATTTTGGTACATTAAAAAATGTTGCTAAAAGAGATGATTTGGAAGAAAATATCCAGATTGACATAATCTTAACAAAGCAATTTCTAAAGAAAAAACTGAAAAGTTATACAAAAAAACTCTCCAATGGTTGAGTCATTGAGGTCTTTGAAATATTAAAAAGCCAATTGCTTCCAAATACTATAATAGTAAACATATAATTTCAGAATGTGGAAAAATATGACTCTAGAGATTGTGCAGACCCAAGTATCTTTGAACAGTTACTTAGATTCTGTAAGCCCTAGTTTCCTCATTTATAAAATAAGGATAATAATACTATCTATGCCCCAGATTTTTACTCTAATAAATAACTAAGACAATATGTGTAAGGCATATGGCAGAGTCCAACACCAACACATGGTGTACGATCAACATAAGTTGTTGTCATTATCACTGATAACACTGGAATAGCACTCATACCTAAGAATCCACAGCCTTCCTCCATGCTGGCATTAATGTAGCAAAAAAAAAAAAAAATGTAAAAAGACCTTACATATAAAAGGAATAAAGACCAGAAGTAAAGGTATTGAAAAAAATCTTTTGCAGAAAAATTTTGCAAAACTCATTTTAAGACATCTTAATGCATATTAATACATAATTTAGAGAGACATACTCTACCTAAATGAGAACACGTAATGTTAAAAAGATATCGTTCTTTACTGAACCCAATGGAACATACCTGTAATCCCAGAAGCTTGGGAGGCTAAGGCAGGAGGATTGCAAGTTTCAGGCCAGCCTCAGCAACTTAGTAAGGCCCTTAGCAACTTAACAAGAATAAAAGGACCGGGGGAGCTGGGGCTGTGACTTAGTGGTAGAGTGCTCACCTAGCATGTGCGGGGTGCTGGGTTCAATCCTCAGCACCACATAAAAATAAAGGTACTATGTTCAGCTACAACTAAAACAAAATATTTAAAAAAAAGGGACTGGAAAATAGCACATGGTAAAGCACCCCTGAGTTCAATTCCCAGTACCCTCCCTAAAAAAATCATTCTTCCCAAATTAATGTATAGGTTTAACACAATTCCAAATAAAGTATTAAATAAATGAATCTATATTGTTCCTCTGGAAGAATAAATGAGAGAAAAGTTAAAAATCATAAAATAAGAAAAAGAATGATGAGGGGAGCTTCAAGATTAATAATGAAAATAGTTTGATACTATACTTTTTTAAAAATTGTAGATAGATACAATATCTTTAATTATTTTTATGTGGTGCTGAAGATCAAACCCAGGGCCTCGCAAGTGCTAGGTGAGTGATCTACCGCTGAGCCCCAGCCCCAGACCTGATACTATACTTTTTAAAACATAACGTTATGAATGGAATAGCTGTCTCTGCCCTGCTATATATAAGACCCTCACGAGTCATAAATCACTTGCAAATTGATAGGAGAGGATGGGGTGGACTTGCGGGGGTAACCCCACCTTGCTACCCTCTACTCTCATGGAGCAAAAATGCCAGCTAAACTTGTGCCAGGAATGCGGTCCTAGCCATGTCCTGACTTAAGTTTGACAGTAGAGAAAGAGGAATTTAAGCCGTGGAGTTAAGATTTTGCCTTTGATATTGCTTGAAATTTTTACATTTGTTAGGGATTGCCTCCTTGGTATGATTAAAGATCCAAAGAACAACAAGTCAAAGGTCTTTGCGGGGGCATCAGAGGTCACGGGTTACATGCTGAGCCTCACTTCAGATCTAACCTAAAGGGTCAGGATGAGAGATGACATAATCCTGGTCCAAAATTATCTTACTTCTGCCAATAAAAACTGTCCTAACTTATCCCAGGGACAATATGAAGAAATTATTCTGTTGCTTATACTTCAGTTACAAAAATATTTTGATGTTAGGATTTGAGTCCCTGGGTTCGAGAACATCTATTGCTTAAAAAATTACCAAAGGTATGATTTTTTTTTTTTTTTGTGGTACTTGGAATTGAACCCAGGGTTGGTCTGTCACTGAGCTACATCCCCAGTCCTTTTATCTTTAAATTTTGAGACAGGGTCTCATTAAGTTGCCTAGGCTGACCTCAAATTTGCAATCTTCCTGTCTCAGTCTCCAGAGTAGCTGGCATTACTGGTGTGAGCCACCACACCCAGCACAAAAGGTAAACTATACAATTCAAATATCATTTAATCTGCTACTGCTTATATGTTGCTAACATACTTTCAGCAGCTGACACACTGCTAGAGAAATTGTTAAAAAGACTACATTACCCCCAAATTTGATAACAGGTAGAACATTTATATATAAATAGAATTATAAAAGAGGAAAATAGGGGCTTGGGTTATGGCTCAGTGGTAGAACGCCTACCTAGCATGGGTGAGGCATGGATTCGATCCCTGGCACCACATAAAAATAAAAGGTATTGTGTCCATCTACAACTAAAAAATATTTTAACAAAATAAGAAAATATATGAAACTAAAACTAAGAAATAATTCAATAAAGGGAAATAATCGCCTTAACATGAGTCCAGGGAATGTAACTAGTCATCCTAATGTTTGTGTCTGCTCCCCACCCACATCTAAGGAAGGACCATCTCTATTCGACTTTGTATTCCTAGAATGGCACATGGTAGATACCCAGTGAGTGCTGTTAAATAAAGAGAACATTTCACTAGATTGAAAGAGTTACATAGTTTATAGTGGAAAATGAATTACAGAACTTTTGAAATAGGTAGTTTAAAATATATTTAAAACTTTCCAGTATCTAGGCAGAAAAGTGGAAACATTTTTAAGTAGAATTTTTTTAGAGTTTGCTGTAATGAATACTTTTTTTTTTAAAAAATAAATGAATAATATCTTGGGCTGGGGTCGAGGCAGAGGTAGAGCACTTGCCTAGCATGCATGAGGCACTGGGTTTGATCCTCAGTACCACATAAAAAAAAATAAAGGTATTGTGTCAATCTACAACTAAAAACTAAATGTTTAAAAAAAATGAATAATGTCTTTTAAAGTAGTTTGTTTTCATTGGGCATACTGGCACACACATGTAATCCCAGCTAATTGGGAAGCTGAGGCAGGAAGATCACAGTTCAAGCTCAACCTAAGCAACTTAGCAAAACTGTCTCAAAAATAAAATTTGTAAAAGGGTTAGGGAGAGCCTAGGGCTGGGGCTCAGTGGCAGAGCACTTGCCTAGCACATGTGAGACACTGAGTTCAATTCTCAGCACCAAATATAAACAGATAAATAAATAAATAAAAATAAAGGTCCATTGACAACTAAAAAAATATTTTTTTAAAAAAGGGCTGGGGGCTGGGGTTGTGGCTCAGAGGTACAGTGCTCACCTACCATGCATGAGGCACTGGGTTCAATCCTCAGCACCACATAAAAAATAAAATAATATAAAGATATTGTGTCCACCTATAACTAAAAATAAATATTTAAAAAAGGGCTGGGGATATGACTTAGTGGCAGAGCTCTTGCCTAGCATGTATGAGGTACTGGATTCAATACCTGGTACTACAAACAAAAACCTTTTTTTAAAAATTTGAGTTAAAGTATGCATGCTTTTTGTTTTGCTTTGTTTTTGTGGTGGTGAGAATCAAAATCGGGGCTTTGTACATGCTTAGGCAAGTGCTCTACCACTGAGCTACATGTCCAACCCTAAGGTATTCATGATTTCTAAAGTTTGTTTTACATTATTATTTTTTCTAGCAACGATTAGGCTCACAAATTATAAGAATTACATATATTCTGAGTTAATAAAGAACAAATAAAATTATAATGGTGTTACTACCACTGCTGAGTAGAAACAGATTAAATAAGACAATAAACTAACATTTCTTCCCCCAAATTTAGAAATTTGCTCAGTCCTATTGCTCTTTCAGTCCACTGAATGTATCTCCCATTCTTATCACTGTTATGCTGAACACTTTCTATTTAAATGATTTACAGAAAGAAAGCCCTGGTCTGCTCACAGATATCATAGTCACCTGTTTATCATCTGATGTGAGTTGTCATTACATGTGAGTTGTATCTGGTAATGTACCAACTGCAAGTCACTATTTCTGTCCTCAAGAAGATAATAATAGTCCAATTGCAGAAATACAATGCAAAACCACAGAAAATAATTCAAGGTCATCCAATGTTAGGGTCAAATTTTGTGGTACAGCTACTGCTATGAAAATTGGAAGGTGGTCAAGGAAAGCCTTGTTAGGAGAAGGAACACTGGATATGAGCTCAGAAGTTTGGGGAATATTCAAGCTATTGAAAAGAAGGCACGCTGTTTTGGAAAGCATCCTACCTGAGATTTTTTCCATCTCTTCCAATAGCTTTTCCAAGTCCTTATTCAGGTCTGACAGCATTCGTAGCATATTGTCGTAATTTCTTTCCCCAGAGTCAGAATCAGCCATCTAGGTGGTACACAGCAAGAAGCTGCCATGAGATGGACTGGCATTTCACTTCTACTCCACATTCCACAGCCAGTGATTCTTTAAAGAACTCTTCCCTGGCTCTTAGATTCCGACAGTACCACTTACTCCAGAGGCATTAGCAGCAGTTGCCAGGGAGACTGGGTCCTGACTTGAGTAGGCAACTCATTCACATTTCCAACTGTAGTTCTGTACTTTGTAAAAGGGAACGGCTAATAGTACCTGTACCTTATGGATAAGGTTTTTGTAAGGATTAAATGTCATAAATCATGTACTCTTCTGCAAGTACCTACAGTAATAAACACTTAACAAATCATACTTATTGTTATTTAAAATACTGAATGCTAACAAAATTACTCCAGATCTTCTTCTGATCTTGACTGATCACATCAATTCATCCCATTAATAATTGATGCTTATCTATTTAACTACAAGACTCTGGGCTAGAAAAGAAGGGAGAAAAATAATTAACAAGGCCATGGAAACTGCCAGGGAATTTGTGCTCTGTGAGATTACGAGGGAAGAAACTAGGTGGCTGTTGATCAGGCAGGGATGGCCCAAACGTAACGTTGTTCTCAGGGTGCGTGTGCACGTGTGGGGTACAGTTCTCGGCTCTTGCTATAGTAAGAGCCTATGGCTCCCAGGCCTCTCCCATCACGGCAGCTCTCAACTGGTGCTGGGCTTGTGCTGACCGTCTTGTCGACCCTTGTTATTAAATAAGGAGGAGCAGGGGTGAGGGGTGAGGAGCTGAGGTGAGGGGTGAGGGGTGAGGAGCTGAGGTGAGGGGTGAGGGGTGAGGAGCTGAGGTGAGCGGTGAGGTGAGGGGTGAGGAGGTGAGGTGAGGGGTGAGGGGTGAGGTGAGGGGTGAGGGGTGAGGTGAGGGGTGAGGTGAGGGGTGAGGTGAGGGTGGTGGTGGGGTGAGGGTGGTGGTGGGGTGAGGGTGGTGGGGGTGGTGGGGTGGTGGTGGGGTGAGGGTGGTGGGGTGAGGGTGGTGGTGGGGTGAGGGTGGTGGGGGTGGTGGGGTGGTGGTGAGGGTGAGGGTGGTGGGGTGAGGGTGAGGGTGGTGGGGTGAGGGGTGAGGGTGGGGGTGAGGGTGAGGGGTGGGGGTGAGGTGAGGGTGGGGGTGGGGGTGAGGGTGGGGGTGGGGTGAGGGTGGGGGTGGTGGTGGGGTGGGGGTGGTGGTGAGGTGAGGGTGGTGGTGAGGTGAGGGTGGTGGGGTGAGGGTGGTGGGGTGAGGGTGGGGGTGGTGGTGAGGGTGGTGGGGTGAGGGGTGAGGGTGAGGGTGGTGGTGGGGTGGGGGTGGTGGTGAGGGTGGTGGTGAGGTGAGGGTGGTGGTGAGGTGAGGGTGGTGGGGTGAGGGTGGTGGTGGTGAGGGTGGTGGGGTGAGGGGTGAGGGTGAGGGTGGTGGTGGGGTGAGGGTGGGGGTGGTGGTGAGGGTGGGGGTGAGGTGAGGGTGGTGAGGTGAGGGTGGTGGTGAGGTGAGGGTGGGGGTGGTGGTGAGGGTGGTGGTGAGGTGAGGGTGGTGGTGAGGTGAGGGTGAGGGTGGTGGTGAGGTGAGGGTGGTGGTGAGGTGAGGGTGGTGAGGTGAGGGTGGTGGGGTGAGGGGTGAGGGTGAGGGTGGTGGTGAGGTGAGGGTGAGGGTGGTGGTGGTGGTGAGGGTGGTGGTGGGGTGGGGGTGGTGGTGAGGTGAGGGTGAGGGTGGTGGTGAGGGTGGTGAGGTGAGGTGAGGGTGGTGGTGAGGGTGGTGGTGAGGTGAGGGTGGTGAGGTGAGGGTGGTGGGGTGAGGGGTGAGGGTGAGGGTGGTGGTGAGGTGAGGGTGAGGGTGGTGGTGGGGTGGGGGTGGTGGTGAGGGTGGTGGTGAGGTGAGGGTGGTGGGGTGAGGGTGGTGGTGGTGAGGGTGGTGGGGTGAGGGGTGAGGGTGAGGGTGGTGGTGGGGTGGGGGTGGGGGTGGTGGTGAGGGTGGGGGTGAGGTGAGGGTGGTGGTGGTGGTGAGGGTGGTGGTGGGGTGGGGGTGGTGGTGAGGTGAGGTGAGGGTGGTGGTGAGGGTGGTGGTGAGGTGAGGGTGGTGAGGTGAGGGTGGTGGGGTGAGGGGTGAGGGTAAGGGTGGTGGTGAGGTGAGGGTGAGGGTGGTGGTGGGGTGGGGGTGGTGGTGAGGGTGGTGGTGAGGTGAGGGTGGTGGTGAGGTGAGGGTGGTGGGGTGAGGGTGGTGGTGGTGAGGGTGGTGGGGTGAGGGGTGAGGGTGAGGGTGGTGGTGGGGTGAGGGTGGGGGTGGTGGTGAGGGTGGGGGTGAGGTGAGGGTGGGGGTGGTGGTGAGGTGAGGGTGAGGGTGGTGGTGAGGGTGGTGGTGAGGTGAGGGTGGTGAGGTGAGGGTGGTGGGGTGAGGGGTGAGGGTGAGGGTGGTGGTGAGGTGAGGGTGAGGGTGGTGGTGGGGTGGGGGTGGTGGTGAGGGTGGTGGTGGGGTGAGGGTGGTGGTGAGGTGAGGGTGGTGGGGTGAGGGTGGTGGGGTGAGGGTGAGGGTGGTGGTGGTGGGGTGAGGGTGGTGGGGGTGGTGGGGTGGGGGTGGCGGGCCTGCTCACCTGGCCCAGAGGCGCTGGGGGCTCGGTCCCGCACCTCGGGAATCAGGATGGGCTCCTGGCAACCACGCCCCGCCCCTTTCCGTTGGTAGCTCCGCCCCCAGAGCACGCGTCTCACACTGATTGGCTGTTCTTGGAAGAAGGGCGGGGCGCCTGGGGGTGGCGGGGCGCACCCCTGTGTGGGGCGGGGGAGAGGGGTCGAAGGGCACCGGCCTGGTCCCAGGGAAGTTCCCCCCACCTGTTTCTGCCTGAGGCCACGCGTGTGGAGGACCTGTCTGACCACTGTGTCCCTGTGTTCGGGTGCAGCATGTGGTGTAGACAATGCTTTAAACCTTTGTGTGTGTGTGTGAAACAATAGCTGAAAGCCCAGTATTTGTGGTCTTCCCAAGGACCAGAGGCCTGAGGGAGGGCAAGCCAAGCCCCGTGTGAGGATGGCCTTAGGCCAGAGCCGAAGCATTCCATTTAAAAAAACTCCAGTTTGAAAGCAGCAGCTTCACCAGGCCTGCCTACAGACCCTCCGGTGCGGCCCTGAGGCCCAGACAACTCACTTCCCCCTCCCTGATAAACTCAGAGTGAAGCCTCTGGCAGGCTGTGCTCACCCCATAAGGGGAAAGGGACCCCATAAGAGGGAAAGGCAAGAAAATTAGGGTGGGGACCACCAGACCAGAAGCTTTAGCCCCAGGGTAAATGACTGAGAAATCCAGTGGCAGCTGATAGGGATTGAAAGGTGGTCCGAAGCCCCCAACTTTACTGCAAATGAAGGAGCAAATGAACCCACATTCAGCCAGCCAAAACAAGGATGCACACAAACCTCAGAGCCTGATGAGGACCTGGACTGACATCCCATCACTTGTCACTGTTTGCTGACCCTCTGCATGGTCCTCACTGCTCTCAAACTCTACAGCCACATCTTGACCCTGGTGGGAGCTGCGACTTCTCCCTATGATCCCCTCAGCTGGCCCTCGGCTCCACCCCAGGGGAAGTCTGCCTTGGTTCCTGACCTGATCACGGCATCTGAGTGAGTGGGCATCTGTGGACTTGGAGCCTAAGGCCTGAGACTTTACACCCAGCACCTGAACTTAGCATGTAGAAGGAATGTCTGTCAGGAGCCTGTCATGACTGAGGGTGTTTGCAGTGCTTAGAATTAATTAATCTAGAACTGTGTGCTGTGAATTGATTATGTCTATGGCAGCGCCTTGCATTAAGGATCGTCGTTTTCTTGATCAAGAACCTATAGTGAAATTGTATTGAGTGATTTGAGTGAATGAATCATGGGAAAGGGCAGAAGCGTGTGGCCATTCTTTATTTCTCCCCCTCGACTGCGTAAGTCGCACCTTTTGCCCATCGTGACACTGGGGCAGCGCCTGCGAAAAGCAGCAGGGTACACACAAGGATGCCAAGCTAGGCAGTGCGGGCCCAGGTCCCCTGGCGCTCCTGACCTCTGGGCAGTGGAGGCAGAACTCACCAAGCGGGGAACGCTAACCCCACCCTCGCCCGTGCTGCACAGGGAGGAGTGACAATGGAGGGGCCATTTGCTGTGGCGGGTGGGTGGGGGCGCAGGATGGAGAGGGAGCAAGCTCTGGCTCTTTGGGTGAGTGATGATGGAGGTGTGGAGAAGGGTAGGCATGGCCACGGTGGAGGGAAGTACAGAGGATCAAAAGGTGTTCAGAAGGTGTACTGAACAGAGCTTGGTCGTGTGGGAGGTGAGGGAGAAAGAAGGAATATGCATGTGGCTGGAAATGGTACAGAGGTGGAGAGGAAAAGAGCACCAAGAAGCCAGTTTGGAAGGTGGTTAATTTTGAACACCTTGTGTCTGAAAATACTGACAAACCCAGACCCTGTTGCGTGTTCTCTCCATTTAAAAAAAGCATCTAAAAGTAATCTGATTCTTAGCAGTCTAACCCAAGAGGAGGTTAGAGGAGCTGGAATTGAGACAGACAGTTCTGGACACTAGTGAGCATTGCCTGTTTATTGGAGAGACTGCTCCCTGGGCCACACCTCCTCCCTAAGCTGCCAGGCTTCTGTCCCTTCTGAACCTGGTTTTCTGGCTGTCCTTTCCTGCCAGAACCTGCCCTTCATATTTCCAATCATTCTTCCATTTGCTTAAATAGCCCAGCACTGATTTCCATTATAACACTCCAGAAAAACATGAATTGGGGTTAACTCTGATTGTAAGTGTAGTCCCATCAGACTTGAGGAGTGAGTTTACAAGGCTGAGAAGGGCCCAGGATTCCAGGCAGAAGGTCCACCAAGGGCAAAGGTAAGGATGTGGATGAGCTTGCCTTCCTTGGGGAATGGAGAGGGGACTCAGGGAAGATCAGTTTGGCTTAAGTGTGAGCAGATAGAGGTGTGCTATCTGAAATTTCCTGCAGAGCCCCTGCCCTGAAGGTCTGGTCTCTTAGGAAGCTCCTAAGATGTCAGTCTGTTCTGTGTCCTTGTGCATC